TTGTTTACTCATCCTGACTTTAATAGCAGTAAATATTATCCCCATAGTGCTATTGCTGTCTGTACAGCAGAAGAAAATTACTGTGAAAACATATTTCATCACCTGAAAGCTTAATTAGAACCAGTCTCCTCTACTACTAAAAAGTGTGTGTGTGTGTGTGTATGTGTGTGTGTGTGTAAGACAGAAATAACCATTTGATGACATGTTGTTGCTTTCTTATGTTAAACATTTTTTATTATAGTAATTGAAATAACTTCACCATACAGATATCACATGCTGAAGCATGACAATGCAATATTAACTGCACACTGTGTTGACATTTCAAGCATATTTTCTGTAACAACATTTGCATTCATATACAGGTAGTAAACACATGGGGATAATTTGAGTCATGATTCATGGTAGCAAATGTATTGCTTTCAAGCTAATCTTGAAACCCGGAATCAAAAAATCTATTAATAGTCGATATTGTAGCATGTACAGTGGTAATTATATGAACCAACCAGCTCAGGACCAAGAACTGCCATTGTTAACCTTTGAAAGAAAAATATCAGCATTATCTGATTACTTTTGCAAGTCTTCTTACTAACTTAAAAAATATTAGTCTATTGAGCAATGACTGTACCAATAGTTTTCAAGTTAGTGGTGGGGATAAAATAAAAGTTTTATGTAGCCCTTCTTAGATAATACAGCCCAGTTAATGCAAAATATGTTCCCTGAATAGTTTTTCTTCAATATACCATATACCCACTTATGACAAGGCAAAAAATCACCAAAAAGGGCAGCAATCTCAAAGACTGCAGTAAGTTTTAATATACCATTTTTGGGTTGCAAGACTGTTATTTGTAGCCATGTATCGTGGTTCAAATAGTCTAGACAATGTTTTTTTAGGCATAGAAACTTGGTTCTTAAAAGTCCCAGCAGACAAACTGAACTTGATCTAATAACACATTTTATCTAAGTTTTATTGTTTCTGAGGTAAAAATATACCACCATAAAATGCAAGGAAAACCAGTATCTAAAAGGCAGGATTGATCCTTTCTGGACTTTGTCCATCAAAGGTCAAAACTTCAAAGGTTAAAGTGAAGAAGAAGAAGAGGAGGTGAAGGAAGGAAAAAAAGGAAGAGAGAAAAAGCCGTGTAAGGAATAAAATTTTGATCATGCGTATATTTCCAAATTTTTTATTTATTTGTAAATAATATTAACCCAAAATATTTAGGTAACTAATTCAGAACTTGAAAACATAAGTTTCTCAGTTTAAAGAGAAAAGCCAATTTTCAAAAATCATTAGATCACAGCAACACAACTAACTGAGGTTACACTTTTTATTGCTTAACCCTTAGAACCTAGGTAAACTAAGACTCAAAATGTAAATTAGCATCACAGAACAGAAAAGGAAGGAATTTTCTGTCACTCATCTAGAGGTATTTGATATTATGTTTTAAAGAGAACACATTTAAGAATGAATCAGTGCTTTGCAGAAACCTAGAAATAATAGAGTTTATGCAACTATCAATTTTTTGGTACATTTGAAAAGGTCAAATATGTGTATATTCAGATTTAAAAAGAATTTTTATGTAGAATGGCTTTGACATGCTAAAGATGAGAGCATTTGGATGAATTTATATTAAAATGTGAAATTTCAAGTTAGATAACAAAATTCTATAATCATATGCTTTCCAAATTAAAAAGAGAATTAGAATGAAGTCCTTAATGTCCAGAAGCCTCTATCATCTAGTTGCTAGTAAATATTACATGAAAAGAAAGTTGTGTTTTTTTGTTTGTTTTTCTGAGTTTGGTTCATTTTAGTTTTGGGGAGGAGGAATTAGTAGGCAATTTTTGTGTATTTAGACCTAAGTTAGACGTATGAAAAAAATCTGTATAAATCTTTGCGTCTGGCAGAGGTTATTTCCATATTTGATCCTGTTATAACTTTGTTTTTATACATGCAAGGTAAGTGAAATGCTAGTAAAATAAAATTTGTTGCTAGTAAAAATGAACATAATATGAATCACAATAGTTCCTTCAACAGATTACATAAAGCAAATGGTAACTAATTACAATGCTGGATAATTAAAGTGAAAACAAATCTGCCATCTCACACCATGTTCATAGATGAGATTTCAAATAAAGGTTGCTTTTTTATATAATTCTGGAAATCACTGCAATCATATACAGTTCTGGAAAGCATTCTAAACTTAGATTTACAGAATGAGTAGGGATTTTTTTTTGTAACAGAATGAAAATACACTTTCATCTTAAGTAAAGCAAATTCCCTATTAAAAACTCCTGGTAATATCAAATAACTTCTGAAGTTTTTCAAATAAAGTTAGTTTCTCTCCTAGAAGAGAGAATCAGACCCGTACTATCACTTATATTGATATGTTTCCACCTTATGAATAAAAAATTTATAATAAAAACTAAGGAATATTTTATACCTCTAAAACATTGCTATGGCCTCTAGAGACTTTCATGGTTTACTACTGAATCTTCTCTTCTTAGTTTCTCATTAGGGAATAAGCACTTATAGCAACCATAGTCCACAGCATACCAGGTAGTATATATAAATAATGAGCACATGGCTTTTATTCACGATTTTATCACATCAAACTAGATCAGTATAAATATGCAAATGTCAGCAAGAAAATTCTAGTGCTCAAAAAAAGCCAGATCTAAGTAGCTAGATAAATGAAATTTGTTCATTAATTAGTTAGGTAGTTTCACACATTTTAACTTATTTTTCAAAGGTTCTTAAATTTTGTGTGTGTGTGTGTGTGTGTGTGTTTTCTGGGGGGAGAGGGTTCATCCCCATGTTGAACATTCTTCTTTTTTGTTTTAAATAAAAGTTTCACTCTTTTATCAATAAAGACAGAAGTCCCAAAGCACCTACTCTAGCATACTAACCATTTTGATTTAAATTAATGCAAGTGAGTGACCAACAAACTGGTCTCAACATTAAGAGACTTCTAAAATAAGTATGACACATTATCCTAAAACACCAAAATGAGTTTGAAATGTCAACTGTTCTACTTCTGAAGAACAGAAGAAATTGTATTTGACCATACGTACCCACTGGAGATATACTTTCCAAATAAAAGTGAATGGTATGAGATACAAAAATCAGATGGAAAGATGGACCCTTGAAATTATGTCTCATTCATGGACAAATCATGAATTTAAAAGAAACATTATTAAAAATACTTCATGAAAAGACCTACTTGTTTATTACTCTTACAATGATTTTGCAATATCCCAATTTTTGCATTATTTATTCTAAGAAATCTGTAATATAAATGGAGTCACAAACATTCAGAGTTACACTATAATTTCTTTTATCCTGATCTTATCCTCTTTTTCCCCAAAGACAATAACAGATTCTTCTTTGGGATGCATTTAGCAAGGAAAAGTATCTATTGGAATATAGATGTTAGGTAGTCATAAAGAATCAAGTAGTGATAATTTAAGGAAAAACCTATCTTAGCCTATCACAGCCTCAGAATATGGCTTTAAAAGCAAAATATATCTAACTTACAACTTTAGGTTGCCAATTACCCTTTTTGCAAATTAAACTAGGACAGTTTGCTTCTCTCAGTTCTCCTGCTTTGGGGCCATTTCTTGATTTATTGGAAGTAGTTTCTAGGACAGTAAAAGGTAAAACATTCCTAAATTTTTCCAATAGTTAGCATCTGTGAAAACATAAGACTGTTGGGAGAAGTTTAAAGAAACTTCTAAAAGATGAGTATTGTAATTTCTAAGGATTTCCATGTCAGTGATAGTGCTGTTTATATTTTTATGGAAAACTGAAAGCTCACTCATTGTTTTTGAAACTATAAGCAAGAAAAGGAAGTAAATTGCTATGAAATGTATGCATAATAACTTCAGACACAAAGAAAACTTCATCCTGTTTTGATTTTAGAAAATTCTCAAGGGTACATCCATGACTAATAATATCTAGTAATCAGAATCTTCTATTTGCAATAATTAGATTATTTTCTATGCTGCAGTGTGAAACTGTATTAGATTTTACCATGTAAGTTGGTCTCAACATTAAGAGACTTCTAAAATAAGTATGACACATTATCCTAAAACACCAAAATGAGTTTGAAATGTCAACTGTTCTACTTCTGAAGAACAGAAGAAATTGTATTTGACCATACGTACCCACTGGAGATATACTTTCCAAATAAAAGTGAATGGTATGAGATACAAAAATCAGATGGAAAGATTTTGTTATTAACATCATTTTCTGTTCCTTTATGTGACTCCCAATGAAAAGTAGAAAATAAAAGCTAGTTTACATTTTGTTTACTTGTAACCCACTGGATTGTCTTCCATTTTGGATCACTATATGATCTTACTAAAGCCTTACTGAAAATGTACATTATCACAAGTAGCTAAATTTCCACATAGAAGAATAAAAATATTGGGAAAATCAGGTTGAGATTTTTATAGTACTCTGAAGTGTGCTACAGTAATGATAAACCCGTTTTATATTTAATCCTATCATCAAGCAACACCAGGCTTCTAGCTTTGTTTTTCATTTTAAATGGCTACTATATATAAGAGAATTAATAAGGTATTATACTATTAATGCTTTTTCAAGTCAAAAGTAGTATTATCTAGAAAATAATTTAACACTGAAATGGGATATTCAAGATCAATTTTGTTTTATATACTCTGCAGCAAAAATAACATTTCTAGTAGGAAGTTATTAATTATAAACCTAGCAAATTCTAGACGTTCACATATTTGTGTAAACAATTTAATGGTTTATTACATTTCCAGAAAGGTTAAGTCTTATATCCAGTTTTCTGCTAACTCTTCTTTCATATATTATAATAAATATATATGTTATTTGAGTGCACATGTATATATTTTCACACATATATGTCATATATACATAAAACAGCACTTAATGGTCACTTTCTTTGCATGTTTAAATTGGAGGGAAAAAAATGAATTGCTATTATGCATAATCCATGGCAATCTTCCTTTCTGTTTCACAAATGGCCATATCGGGATGTAAACAAAACATTGGAGCGAGTCATTCCAGGTGAACTGTATTTCAAGGTGTAGTTTGGTGTTCTCATGAAGAATTGTGTACTTCCTGGTAATAAATACCTACAAATGACAGTTAAAAAATTATACTTTACAAACAAGTTAATATTAACATCTCTCACTAAAGTGTTCTGTGGTTAATTTATATATGCTACATGAGAAACAATACTATAACAACAATGCATTCTACATTAAAAAAAAAAAAAAGTTCTCTTCCAGACTGAGGTGGGAAGGTGGAAGATGGTCATAAAAGCCTCACCTAAAGAGCTGAATATAGATGCAACATATGATCTTAGTATCCCAAGACATCCCATAAAGAGCCATTATGCTCACATGCTAGGAAACTATTTCCATGGCTCATGTTAATTTGAAATTCATCATTAATCTCTATAAATAATATGTGAAACCAGTCAAATATTTCTTAAAAACATGTGATATGAGAATTTGGCTAGCCACATCACCAATAATTGTTTGTTTCAAGGATGTTGGAACCATTAATTATAATTTAATAATATTTCATCAATGTATTATGATTATAGGTAATCTAAGAGAAAAAGTTAAAGACTAAAATTCATAATTGTAAAATTTATATTCCTAGACCACATGGTTCTTATGATAACAACACCAAAAACAATCATGATTACAGATTACATGCAATCCTTACAGCCAAATGTATTTCAGAATACATGAATTTTCCAGATTTTAGAATGATAGAGTGTATATACTATATATAATATAATATCTCCATTGGGGCCTTGGTGCAGCATCCTGAAATCAAACCATTAATATTTCTGTAGTGAAACATATGAATACTCACAATAAACAGATGAAAACAACAAATAACTTCATGTCAATTCAGGTCAGGTCAGATTTGCCAATAAAAAGTTACTCTTCCTTTCTTTTTAGTTTTCAGAGATTTGAGAATAAGTAATTATAAATAAGAATGTGCACCTGTATAATTTGTTTCTCTCTGGAAAAACTTTGATTAGCATTAGGCCACTCCAATCTATATATCTAGAGAAAAATGGAAATCCACAAGGAAATCCACATGAGCAAAAGCAAATAAACATTATTATTAAAAGTATAAATCTTGGTAATGACAAGGACATGCTATAAAATCAGGACAAAGACATCTATGAGGAATTTCCAAAACCAGAAGTAGCAATAGAAGATTTGAAATTTTTGAAAAAACAAACAATGGCAGAGCATCAACTCATTTATTTCTTTCACTTTACGTTAGAATCTTCCAGCAACAGTGTCATATTTCCATAGATACGCAATGAAACTGAGGGCTAAGAGTACCATCAGCTACCTATCCTACATTAAATAATGTTGATACTACTATACCTCCATGCCAATGGAAAGTTACATTTTTAGTTGTGTTATATGAATTTTGTAGAAGAATATGAATTCATTATGATCAAGCTACATATGACATTCAGATTAAAATGGAAGAATTCTCCATAACATCCATAAACATCATTTTATCATGAATTATCTAATAATATCTTCTAAATCTATTACCTAGTATCACAAACTATAAATAATTGCTCAAATCATTAAGTTAATAGAGCAGTAAAATAATACACAACAAACCAAATTAAATCAAAATTGCACAATGGATGATGAGTAATGAAACAATTGATTTCTCACATCACAGATTATTTAAATTATTTTCTTAATATCACTTGGGTAATTTATATGGATTAATTATTATGTCAAGAGCTAGTGGAGTCATGATGATTAATCTGCTATCTTCTGTCATGAAAAGGCTCCCTTCCTACCTAAGGCAAAGGTACAAAAGAAAATAAGGTGTTTGATCAAAATCCACTACTTTTTATTAGTTGAGAGTTATTCTACCTTCTATTGAAAATGCATTCTGATTATACTGATAATTATCAGAGTAAACAATAATTTCTACCAACTTCCTTTTGAAGAACTTCCAAGCAACAGTTACTGCTGACAGTACAATAACATTCACCTATCCTTTTGAGTTAAAGATCTCCAGTCCACAGAGGAAAAATAAAAGCACAAAATCCAGGGTTACAGCTAACCTGTATTATTTTATTTAACACTATGTAATACTTAAGTGTTTTCTATGTGCTCAGCACTATTCTAATTGCTTTACAAATATTAACTCATTTACTTCTCATAACAATTCTATACAGTAGGTATTATTGTATGTTTCATTTTATCGATGAACACACTGAAGCATACAGGGATCAAATGTCTTGCCCACAGTTACATAGCTAGTAAATGGCAGAGCTCGGACTCAAACCCATGTGTGCCAACTCCAGAGTCAGTGCTCCTAGCAGCTATACTATATTGTCATTTCTCTGTATGAATCTCAGTTTCAAAACGAATGGATACAATGATTATACTCATTTTTTCAAAACTACAAAGTATAAAATAACCTAGAAAGTAGAAAAAGATTATACATCCACAAACCTAAACTTTTTAAAAGAAGCAGAAAAAGCTAAAATGAAACTTCTGTAAGAAAAAAAGTTCAGTATAAACTAAAAAAGGCATATGAAATTACATTGGAAGAAACACTTTGTTTCCCTAAAGCAAGTCCTGTGGGATATTTTAAAGCATTAAAGGAAACACAATGGATTATTTGCCTTAACATCTCCATTAATATCTCTTGGGAGATCCCTTACTAGCTGAACACCAAAGATTATTTTTGAAATGTTCTTTGCAATGAAATTAAATAATACAATTTGATTGTTTTTAGCAAGAAGAATATCTCTGGGAAGTACATTTATAGACTATCTATCTATCTATCTATCTATATAAAGAGTTTGCATTAAAGCACCAAAAAATGTGAAAAGTTTACAGCTTTACCTTTATTCTAGCTTACTCTTGATGTACAAAAATAGCTAACTTGTAACTAATAGCTGAGAAATACCTCAGACTACCCTATTTGCTTCGCACATGTACCCTCACTCCTCATCACAGAGGCTAGGTGTATACAACCTCACATATCCATCACATAGACATAAAATATGCATTTGTCCAATTCCTACTTGATGTAGAATTGGTCTGTCATGTACCAACTTATTACTGACCATGGAGGATCTCTAGAACATGAACATTTCAAGACCAGTAAAGAATTAGCCTTGAAAACGCACGCTACACCCACCTTCTGAGATTTTCCTGGAGTAAGATGAGGACCCCTGATACCCCCAAAATAAACTCAGCTTCCTGGTTTGGGGAACAAAGGTAAATAAAGTTCATCATAATATTTATCCTGTGTTTTAAATTTTTTTCTACTGTGGTATAATATATATAGCATGAAACTTACTAGTTTTATCATTTTTAAGTGTACAGTTCAGTGCACTAAGTACATTCACAATGCTGTGTAACCATCACCACAATCTAGTTCAGAACTTTTTCATCCCAAACAGAAACTCCTTGCCCATTGAACACTAAATCCCCATTCCCTCCTCCCCATTCCCTGGTAAGCTCTATTCTACTTTCTGTCTCTGTGAATTTGTCTTCTCTAGATACCTCATATATAGTGGAATCATATACCATATTTGTCCTTTTGTGTCTGGCTTATTTAATTAGCCTGCTTTCAAGGTTCATCCATGTTGTAGCATGTGTCAGAATTTTATTCTTTCATATAGACTGAATACTATTGCATTGTATGTCTGTATCACATTGCATTTATCCATTCATCTGTTGGTGGACAGTTTCCACCTTTTGGCTATTGTGAATAATGTTGCTATAAACATTGTTGTACAAGCATCAGTTTGAGTCCTTGTTTTCAATTCTTTTAGGTATATACCCAGGAGTGAAATTGCTGGGTCATACGGCAATTCTATATTTAACTTTTTGAGGAACTAGCAAACTTTTCCATAGCAGCCACATCATTTCACATTCTGAGATAGTGAGTGCAGTGCACGAGGATTCCAACTTCTCAATATTCTCACTGACACTTATTATTTTGCATTTGGGGGATAATAGCCATCCTAGTGAGTGTGGATCATTCCATTGTTTTAACTTTGATTTGGGCTAGGGGTTGCGGGAAGCTCTAGTTTCAAGGCCCACCTCTGCCATAGCTAGCAATGTGGATTTGGAGAAGTCATTTAACCTCTTCGGGCCTCAGTTTTCAGTTTTCTCATCTGTGAAAAGAGTCCAGTAGTTTCTTCCATGCCTAGCTCACAGAGTATAAAGCCAATGAAATAGTGCACAAGGGTGAAATATTATTTACGTGTTATGAACATCAGCCTCACAAGGCAAGACCATACTTGTTCTGAGATAGATGTTTCAAGCTGTCACAGCCTGGGGCCATAATGGTACCATGTATTTAACTCAATTGTATAGTACACATTTGAAATTGCATAAAACATAAATGTCCAGCTTCATGAATATTATAAAGTGATTACTTGTATAACTGCTACCCGGGTTAAATAACAATATTCCTAGCACCCCAGAGCCCTGTATTTCAGCACCCTCCCTTCTTCCCAGTATCTTCCCCATTTTTTTTATAGAGTGCTCATTTTTTTTCTTAGAAGTTTGTGGGAGTTCTTCTTTGACCTAAGAATCTTATATAGGTTATAAATGGGTTGCAAATGCCTTCTTTCATTCACCGACTTGCTTTTTCACCCTCTTAACAGGATCTTCTATGGAATAGATATTCTTAACTTTAATATAGTAAAATTCATCATTTATGATCTGCACTTTTTGGCCCTATTTTTTATAATCTTTGCATACCTCAAAGTCATGAAAATATTCTCCTGCATTATCTTCTGTAATATTTAGTTTTGCCTTTCACATCTGTGTAGTCAAATCATTGGAGATGATTTCTGCATATGGTGTGGGTAAAATCAAGTTTTTTTATTTTTAATTATTATTTAGAAACCCAGTTGTCTCAGCATCATTTTTTAAAACAAATTTCTTTTTCCCATTTGTCATAAATCAAATGTACCTCCCTTTCTCATAAATCAAATCTCTATATATGCCTGGGTCTACTTAGGACTTTTCTGAATGGTTTCATTGGTCTGTCTATCCTTTTGACAATATTACACTGTCTTAAATTAACTTATTCTAAGTCCTAGTACACTACAGTTAATAAACCCTACCATTTTATTTTTCTATGTCAAACGTGTCTTATCTATTCTTGGCCCTTTGTTTTTCCGTATAAATGTTAGAACAAGCTTTGGTCAAAGACTGTGCCTCCCCCCAAATATTTGTTGAGATTTATACTAGGATATTCACCAACATCCCCGTCTTTGGCAGGCCTTGAACTCCTACTTTTTCCCTTAGGCCCATGAGTCTATCAAAAGTATTACTCAGTTTATGCTGTGAATTGTGCAAGACAGTTGAATCACAGATCTGTACTTCTGAAACAAATAATGCAACATATGTTAAGAAAAAAAAAAAAAGAAGAAGAGAGCAGGAAGGGAAGAATGAAGGGGGGGAAATCGGAGGGGGAGACGAACCATGAGAGACGATGGACTCTGAAAAACAAACTGAGGGTTCTAGAGGGGAGGGGGGTGGGGGGATGGGTTAGCCTGGTGATGGGGATTAAAGAGGGCACATTCTGCGTGGAGCACTGGGTGTTATGCACAAACAATGAATCATGGAACACTACATCCAAAACTAATGATGTAACGTATGGTGATTAACATAACAATAAAAATTTTAAAAAAAAGTATTACTCAGTTTAACAAGCTCTCACTAAGTACCTGATTAACACTCTAATGTCTTCAAGCAAGGTTTTGATATTTTGTCTAGCTTTTCTAGTTGTCATTAAAGGGAGGATTTGTCCAGATCTAGAGAGGACCCCGAAAGACCACCCCTCTGGCGCACACTCTGGCCCACCTGCTCGCCCGCATATCCACTAGTTACCTTCTATCCCTGGGAGGGGGGGAAACGGTCCCTTCGCCTGAAACCCACAGGTCCAAGTCATGAGGGATGGACGCCCACCTTCCTGGCTGAATTCCTTCCCCCGCCTCTAAGGAGGCTCGCTCTGAACCCGAGGGCAGACACACACTATAAACCATACTCCATGAGGGCAGAAACTGCATCTGTCTGTCTAGTTCCAAGCTGTATGTCCAGTGCCCACAGGAGTTCAATACAAGTTTGTTGAATGAATGAATGAAAGAACACAGGTTTCCTGCCTCCGGGGCTCCAGCTCTCTGAGTAAAAGCACAGCTTTCTCCCTTCATCTCCTACCAGGAACCTGGATGGAGGTTAAGGAAATGTGAAAGTGAGATGGGGAGCCTCCTGTGAATGAGCAGGAGGAACTTCTTGGCCACTGGCACAAACATCCAAAATTGGGTTCCAGTCTGTGTAGGAAGAAGGGGATCCCCCCAGAGGGCCTGTGGCTTTTTCCCACCATCTGAGGGGCGCCTGTCTGGCTCAGTCAGTGGAGCGGTGGACTCCTGATCTCCACATTGTGAGTTCGAGCCCCACATTGGGTATAGAGATTATTTAAAAATAAAAGCCATAATAATAATAATAAAATAAAATAAAAATAAAATATTTAAAAATAAACAATAAGTAAAAAATTTTTTTAAAAAGGGAGGATTTGTCCAAAAACCCAGTGCTCTATTACCAAAGGCAGAAGTTTGAACTCAGTGGTTTTTAAAAATGTTTTTAACCATGAAACCCCTTGTGAAATGAGCTTATACGGAAGTTCAGTACATGAAATACAGAAACACAGAGATGTTGATGATACAAAGTATTTGGAGATCCCAAAGCTTCCCAAATAAGTATAGTTAAAGTATTGAGCTGGGCCCAAGAACTCTAGTTTCATATATATATCTGGGTTTATTTATCAGTTTTACTTGCTTAGTTATGAGTCTACCTCTGAGAAATGGCTTTCCACTTGGTATGCCTATTAAGTTATTATTTTTCTAAGACTTCAAGATTCAAGGCTACTCTGTTCCATGGCATGGGTGGCATGTACACCTTAAAGCCTCTTTAGAAAGATCATGCAGATCTTTGGTCAAGATAAATATGGTCCATGGGCGCCTGGGTGGCTCAGTTGGTTAAGCGACTGCCTTCGGCTCAGGTCATGATCCTGGAGTCCTGGGATCGAGTCCCACATCGGGCTCCCTGCTCAGCAGGAGTCTGCTTCTCCCTCTGACCCTCTTCCCTCTCGTGCTCTCTATCTCTCATTCTCTCTCTCTCAAATAAATAAATAAAATCTTTAAAAAAAAAAAAAGATAAATATGGTCCATAAACCTGACTGATGTTATCTCTATTTTCTTTCTTTTAATTTTACAGATAAATTACCTAAATATATATCTCCTCATAAAGTATTTAGGTATACCTCATATATTATTTATATTAGGCATATATATTAATTTATAAATATTAATTTATACTTTATTAGGTATACTTCATAAATGAAATTTATCTATCTATTAATAAATACCAAATTAAGTGACTTCTACATATAAAGTAAAAAGCTATAGGTTCCTAATTGATAAGGGAAAGAAGATATGGCCAGTTTTCGCATGTTTTTAAATTAATGTGACATGGACTTGGGTTTTAATAGCTAGATATTTATTTCTCTCTCCTCCTTGTGTTTCCAAGTAGAAGAATTTCCACCAAATTTCTGGCCTTTTACCAGAAGTGAGTTATCTGATTTTCAGGTTTAAAAGAAGGAACCAGGTACGCTTGGCTCAGTCCCTTTCTCTTGTTGGATCAGCCTATCTACAGAAAGAATGCATTCTTACTAGCTCACTAGCCAACACTAACAGAACTAGACTTTATGGGGTAGTGTTAGTGGAAGATTTGGTTTGATCTAGCTCTGCCCATGATTGGATCAGTACATTTAATTCTAGAATTCAATTTTAGAGAACTCACTTGGCTCAGATCTACACCATTGTCCCTCACTGTGGCTTTACTCAGTAATGAAGCTACATCCTGATGATCATCTGTCTGATTCCTACATTTCTCTCTCAAATGGTTCTGAACTTGGGCAGGACTAAAGGGTGTGTTTTACTAACCCCTCTTCCCCCAGAATGCTTATAATCATCATACTGGGGTTATACTGAGCATTTATCAGAAGTCCAGAACTCAAGATTCCAGAGTAGGAATATCTCTTCTGACCACCAGAAAAGGAAGAAAATAAAAAGGCTTCACACAATTGTAAGGTGTAACTTCTTTCTCCAGAGTGACCTCAGTCTGTTTTGCCCATCTACAGAAGTTACAAGAGCCTTCAATAGAAAATGTGTTACAAAATCTATAATCGCAAGAGTAACATTGAAGAGTTTGAAACCATCCTTCCTAGACTGGAACTTAAGATTTTCCTGATCATGCTCCCAGAGTATATCACTCCTTAAAGTGAAACCACCTCATTTATATGCTGCAATGTCTTAATGATGACCATCATTCTTTTAAATCATACAAAAATATTAATGAAAGTAATGTAAGTTTTATTTCAATAATTTGCTTCAAACCATTAAACTGTAGAATATTGATATTTGATTGAATTTGATATTTACATATTTCAAATATTAATGGCTAGCTTTACCTCTATCACTGTTGTGATCACTCAGCTTCTATTTGCAGGGGGAGAGTAGTTAAAATATGTTAAAGGTACGACAATAATATAATGTCAGAATCCAAAACAAACAAAGATTAAAAATACATCTTTCGGGTGCCTGGGTGGCTCAGTCGTTAAGCGTCTGCCTTTGGCTCAGGTCATGGTCCCAGGGTCCTGGGATCGAGCCCTGCATCGGGCTCCCTGCTCCACGGGAAGCCTGCTTCTCCCTCTCCCTCTCCCCTGCTTGTGTTCCCTCTCTCGCTGTGTCTCTCTCTGTCAAATAAATAAATAAAATCTTTAAAAAAAAAATACATCTTTCAACACTTTCTGTGAAATATACTCCAAGCCATTCTGCTGTTGCAGATCAGTTTTGCAAAAAGTTAGCTTTATTATATACTTCCTATGATCTCTTTAATAAACATCAATTTCTAGGTGTTTCAAAAGACAATCCCAGCTATGGTGGGTTTTTTTTCCTCATCGCCTATTCAGGGTTAATTGAATACTATCATCATTTGACTATCACTTAGTTTTTCAAAGTCAAGATTTATTCTCTTCTATCTGGAGTAGTACTGCAACTTACACATACTAAAAATAAAGTCACGTGTTCCTCTTTAATTCTATTGGGCACTATGATTGTACAGAGAAATGCTAAAATGTACTATTTTTTCAATCTGCATATTTTTGCAGCTTAAAAACAATATTCTTTTTCATGATTTGGAAAATACCTATTTTTACTGGACAGTATTTATTAAAATTCAATTTGTAAATGGAACTTAACAAAATTCACCTCCCATAGATGCGTGTCGTGATGAAGGGAGTAAAGATTAAACTAAAGGCATCTTCTCAACTTATTAGGCTGAAGGATAAATTTTAAATCTCCCTATTGGTGACAAAAGTCAAGTTTATGACCATTTTTGGATGCTTTTACTCGGCATTTGAAAGCAAAATTATATAAGCCAAATAATCTCATTTCCAAGTAAGTTATTTCTGTCACCTTCAGGTTTGTGGTTGCTGTCCTTGTTTGGTCCTTTAAAGGTAAAGATGGTGCAAATTAAAAGTCTTTTGTAGATAACAGCATGTATGAATTTTCGGTCTTTAGCTTTTTCTCTAACTATATAAAAATAAAAAGAGACTCTCAATTTCAAACTGCACCATGGCATTACTTTATATAAAACTCACAGGGTGTAGAAATGTAAACAAGTACCTGGAATTACCCCAATCAGTACCAATGCCTGAGAGTGATCCTCTTGAGTCAGTTGCGTATTTGTAAACCACTAGCAGGCACTGTTTACAAAGTTCAACCAAGCGCTGGCAACATTGGAGCTGCAAAGGAGTCACCACCTCCGGGCTTTTACTGAAAATACTCTCCCAAGAGGATCTGTTGGCATGGAAACAGACATGACCTCATGTGGCTGTTAAAAATGACAACCAGCTTTATCACTTACCTAGCAACAAACCAATAAGGAAAAGTAGAAATGGCCTCAGACATTTGAAGTGACTGCAGATGGTTGAAAGGTATAAAACAAATATATATTCAAAAATTAATCTTTATATTAAAAAACACAACACAGAATTCATACACTATTTGTCTTTAAAGACTTTACTGATGCCAACTGTGGATAACTATCAGGATGGTTTCCCAACACCTCCTAAAAAATTGAGTTACTCTATATTAAAGTGTATGTGAAATACTGAGCTTATTTCTCAAAAGTTAGATATTCTAAAACTTTAGGTTTCCTAGAAAGCTACCTTTACCTTTACATTAATAATGATCCCACAAAAGAATTTAAAATTTGCTTCAATTTAATTTGTGGCCTCTCTGTATTAGGAGAATTTAAGTGAATCCCTTGATTATGACCACTCCTCTCAAAACACTTAGAGATGTAATTATGTCCATGATATTCCTAGAGCACAGGTTCTATATTCTAGAAGTCATGTTATCTCAGTGAGTACTGCCTGATTATAATCACAAAGGTAGTATCCTGCCTCCTTAAGTGCCCTCAGCTTATACCAAAGCACATAGTAGTACACACTTTCTTGGTAAACTTCAAGTGTGTGTGTGTATGCGCACAGGTAAACAAATACATATAAATGTACTTACAACTCCTAAATTTACCGTAACAATCCAAATCAGGAAACACCTCACCACCCCCCACCACCAGAAAGAGAGAGACAGAGACAGAGACAGAGAGAAACTTATTTCCTTATAAATGAAACTTTTCAAGTCTCAAGGGGAAAGTTTCCTTTGAGACATGGTAATGGTTCAAGTCTCATTTTACATAAACCGATTCACTTAACCCTTAGAAAAGAAAAGAGTAGATTTTCAGAAAGAAAAAAATATTAAGGAAAATATTTTTCTGACAAGATGTACTTCCCAATGGGAAACTCAAAGACTCCATTTTCAATCTTCTGTGGATATTTGATATCTTTGGAATTTTTAAAAATGTTTTAGAAACTCAGAAAGGTATTTTTTAGTAGAAAGGCTACTGTTTATTTTTTCAGGAGAAACGTGGTCCTAAACAGAGAGCATGTCATCTGTGAATGAGAGGTTTTCTTAAAAGGAATAAGATTCAAATGAGTAAACTGAAAGGAATAAATTTTCTTCCATATTCTGAGATGTTCGGGACTAAATATAATAATATAATATTTTTATTATTTTTAAAAAGTTATTTTCATTCAAAAAACAGTAATATGCTAATTAAATTAACTAAAAATAAATTTTAATACTAAATATAAGAAAAACTGGCTATAATACATATGTGTTTGCATATATCCATATATACCTATACATGTGTGTATGTATAACCAACTTAATTTGATCAAGAAAAATACTGGAGAATACAAATTAATTAGGGCATGTGTTTATAATTAGTATTTCCTAATTTCAAAGCCCTACATGTTTAGGCCCAGAGAAATAAAAATTTCATATAAATACAAATACATACAGGAAAACATCCTGTGTTATGACTGTCTGCTTAGCACTTTCCTCTCCACTGAAATTCTGAACATTGCTACATCCTCTTCTTTCAATTTGGATGTATTTTTATTTTGATCCTTTGGAGCCATTTGATTAGATCCACTATCAAGTTACATACATCATGGTAATTTTTTTTTTCTGATTTGGAGGATAGAGGTAAGAAAAAAACAAATAAAATGGAAGAAAGATAAAAGAGGTTCTATCACACTCTAATTTGATATAACATTCTGAATACTAGGTAAGTTATAATCTGACCAGCTTTGGCTTCTCATTCCCTCATTCTTCCTTAAATATTTAAAATAAATATATGGACCAAAGTCCTTTACCAGTTTTTGGTGTGTATGTTCACCACCTCTAGCCAAAGACCACATTCTACTCTATTAATTCATATTTAAGTGTCAGCACACCAGAAGTCCTCATAAAGAAAAAAAGAAAATGAACAGGACTTGTTTCATTGGGTACCAGGTTAACTTTTTCTGCACAAAGGAAACCCATCCTTCAAACTGAATGTATTAGAACTATGTCCCTCACCTCCTATCCACCACTTGGCATAACTGAGTAAATGTGCAATGCCTCTGTAACACTACAGTATCTCAATTTTCAATACTAACACAAAAATTTTTAAGAAGGTGAAAGGATATAGAAATAATTTACAATACCAGTGCCTTTATCAAAGAACTCAAGGTCTTATCTGCCTTCTTTCTGAATCTAAATTCCAAAAAACAGAATTCAAAAAGAAAAATTAAGTGGTTAAGAAGTTCTGTTTGGTACTCCCTAATCCTCAGAGATGTTTAACAGGAAACAACTTTAAATGACACTTTTTAGTAATATAACAATAAGATACAGAATACTAAATATCTGTGGCAACAAAGGGGAGTTGTTATTAATGAAATCCAGAGACTCAAAAAGCCTCGCATTATCCAGCAATCCAATATTTTTCACCAACTTTCTCATCGAAACATTTAATAAAGCAGTTATCTAAAAAGTAAAACTGATTCATTTCTTTCTCCTTCTCTGGTAGAAGTCTGAATGGATGACTGAGTGGACCAAAGTTAAGTAGCAGAAAGGAGAAAGGAAAGTAAAAACAAAACAAAGCAAAACAAAACCAACAAAAACTGGACTATACCAACTGGATACACAGGAACAATGAGCTGGAAAGTACTAACAATAACATATTCAATTGAAAGTGATATGAGAACAGTAAGATTCAGGTCATTTTTACTCTGTATGATGCATACAATTTTAAGTAGGATAGTAAGTCTAGAAGTGGACTGCTTAGAATATTCCTTACCATTTCTTCTTGCCCAAAGATTCTAAAAAAAAGCTTTTCCATGACAAACTTCCACTGGAAAATGCCTTTGGCTAAAGGTCCAAACAGATTCTTTTCTTTGGGGTTCACATATCTTAGTTTTGAGTGGAGACAGGACTTTTCCAAATAATATATTTCTTCTCCCATTTACCTCCTGCCTTCTCCTCTTTGTTTTACCTGGAAAACTATTCTTCCTCTTCCTCCAAGTCTCAGCCGAAATGTTAACGTCCTTCAGCCACATTTCCTGAGCTCTCAGGACTGAGTTTGAATCCAATAACACCTAAGCTTCCTATATCCCAGTAAAACATGGCGGATAATTTTATTCATGAAAATTCCAAGAGCTGTTCTCCTGCAGAGAACACATTCAGAATGTAGAGCATCATGTGATAACAAGAAAAGTTTCCATGTGATAACAAGGGTCACTGAGCATGGGCTTCAGCAGCCTGAAAGAGCAAGAAAGAGGGATAAGGGTGTGTTCTATTTGATACATTGGTAAAAACCCCTGGGCCAACTCTAGGGAAACATACCACAAAGATCTACAATATTCTTTGATGTTTCTGGATGTGGACAGGGAGTGGTTTATTTATTTTGTTTTGTTATTGGGGTCTTGACAGGCAGAGGCAAGAATCAAGGTGGCCCAGAGTTATTTGGATTATATTTTTCCAAGATTTTACACCTAACTGTGAAAGACAGTTGTGCCTTTTATTAAAATCATTCCTTTAGAAGTGAGTTAAGAGTAGATTTTTACTTTGACTACTAGGCTGTTAGACCAAAGGTTAAAGGAGTATTCATTGACTAGACATGATTCAAAGGATTAATAGACCTATTCTGGGTCCAAACTGGGAATCAAACACACACAACACTCTGTGACTTAATTAAATTGAGGAAGCCTAAGAAACCCATTTGTAAGGCTACAAAATAAAATCCAGTGTTAAACTCTTCTAAGACCACCAAGGTTTTAAAGAAATGGATGGAGAGTGGAGGTCAAATTGGACTCAAAGCTACTCCTGCTCTATTTGCCCAGGTGCAAGGGGGCTGGGGATTTGGCTAAGGCTATGGGACTTAAATCAAGCAAGCCTGTCAACCACTGGGAATGCTGCTTTGAGGGGAGTCAATAAAGCATACAGTTAAGAGCTTGGGCTCTTGAGTCAGACAACCTGGGTTTAAATCCCAGGTCACTTAGTTATTATAAGAACTTGGGCAAATTATGTTTTCTCTATGCTTTGATTTCCTCATCTGTACAATGAGAATAATAACGATAATAATTTACTCAAAATATTGAAGTGGAAATTATAAGAATATTTAATATGTAAAGTAGTATCAGGCATTTAGTAAGTCAAATGCTATTAACTCTCATTATCAATACTAGTAGTAATAGATACCACCAGAGAAATTTAAGGCAAGTATTGTTCAAGGAACAAGAGAAAAAGATTCTGAATAAATTAGAATATATTACCAAAATAGTTCACGGAAGAGGAGTCCCAGAGGCAAAGAAGAACCACTTTATGGGCATCTTTAGGGTCTGGAGTTGGAGATTACCTCATGGACTCAAAACTACCAGCACCAATTTCAGTAGCAGACTGTTTTCCCTGCTGAAGAATAGCTAGTATTCTAACTGATGTGGAGAACAAAGGCAGAAGGAAATGTAGATAAAATTAAATGTCCTTATAACCTGCAGCCCATTGACAAATACTTGAGGCAAGCAGAGTATGACCTTCCTCCAGGAACTCCCAACTGTCTTAACATTAATGCTTTGCTAGAGGGAAAAACAACCTTAGCTTGACAATAGCTAGGTCTCCAGGATCCTATGAGTCTTCTTTAGTATATGAAAATCCTCTTGGATTTTCCCCCAGCTCCATAGTATATAATTAACTGCTCCTCACGGTACCAGGGCAGCCTTTCTGCCCATGGGCCCTGTCCCCGTGCTTTAATAAAACCGTCTTTATACATCGAAGACATCTCAAGTATTCTTTCTTGGCCGTTGACTCTGAACCCCAACATTTTCATATCACAACCTATGGACCAACAAACAGAAATAAAATTCCAATTATGAGTCTAGATTGAGAGAACTTCTACAGAGAACCATCAACTAATGGGCCACGGAATATAGTTCAAAT